CCTCTCTCTTTTTCCTCTCCTCTCCCCTCCTCTTCTCTTTCTTCTCTTCTCCTTCCTCCCTTCCTCCCTTCCTCCCTTCCTCCCTTCCTCCCTTCCTCCCTGCGTTCCATGTATAATGAAAATATGTATAATTAAATAGTTGAATAACCCTCAAGCAAAGGCATTTTAAAGAAAATCTTATGGGGCTGGGAGGAAAAAGCACTGGGATACCTGCTGAGTCACTTCCTCCTATCATGGAGGAACCCAGAAAGCTTGCCAAAGTCAAAACTATGCTTCACTGGCATAGCACAAATATCTGGGATATCATCAGAAGGCTTTCTGACAAATCTCTGGGGCAAAGACAAGATAATTAAGGAACTGATTTCAGAATGTGAGCTGTTAACTTGCAGGCTGAGCTCAGTGGAGCAGGCAACTTGTAAATGTCACCATCAAACCAGATATTTATCAGTTTGAACTGACACACTCTTAACTTCCTAGTGCGTAGTGAGAAAATGTTCCCTGTCGCTTGAGACATTTAAAACTGAAGCAGATTGAACATGGCCTGAAAAATGTTCTCTTGAGCTAAACAATCTTATAGTAGTGAGGGGAATTATGAGATGAGCAGGTTTGGTCTTTCCGTTTTTGTGTCTCTACTTTCCTGCTATGAGTCCAAGATGCTGTTGTTTGTTGTTACAATCAAAATTGTTTTCAGAGTGCTATAGGGTAAGTGGGCAACTCAACTTACACAGTAATGAGTACATGGAGAATTGGATGATTTAGTGGCCAGAGTACAAAATATTGGGAACATTAAAAAAAAACAAAACTGACTTTTTTTGCCCTCCTTGCTTAACAGCTACAGACTGTGCTGTGAGAGAAACCAATCACAGACTCATTCCCAAACTGTCCAGATGAAAAAGGCCTATAGGCTACTTTGCTTATTGCCATAACTCTCTGGAATTGCTTCCTGCCATATATTTGAGTAGTATATTCAAGTTAATTTGCCATAACTTTCCACTAGAAACCTATTCCATACTCTGATAAATCTCATATCTAGCTCTTCCCACAATGTCTGTCCTAAAATACACCATCCGTATTTTCCTTAGTGCTACCTAAAATATTTAAAGTTTAATGACCTCAGCAGACACTGGAGAATGCTGTCCAGTCTTCCCCTATTATTTTTTTGGTATGTAGAGCATCTGGCATTTTAATAAAACTTCCAGACAGGCAAGCAAAAAATGGTCCATATGACAAGACTGTCTCCTACTCTTATCTCCTGGAGAAAAGGACTTTTTTACCTAAAACACAGGAAAATATTATTTAACAAGCACGAAAGGAGATGCTTTATAACATTGTTCATTCTACCATGCTTAAAAAAATAGATACCTTTATAAAATCTAGAGAAGAAATAAAATTTTAAAATAAACATTTCAAAGGTATGATCCATGCAGGCATATAGACCTACTTCTGGGCCAAAAGGATGTTTAAAGGGTTCAGATGCTCTGTTGAAAAAGTAGCACTCTTTCTGTGTGCATTACCACTTTTGAGCCCTGTCTTTATTCCACACAAGCATGGTATAAGTAGCCTGGAGCAATCTCTGTGTGGGCTTTCAATCAAAAAAAACATCTTTATTTGTATACTTATATAGTGCGGGCCAAGCTGAAGTGAGAATACAGATTTAATGTGAAAGGTGATCCTCAAAAATTTCAGTCACATTGGATAAGCACCAGGAAATGAAGCCGAGTATTCAAGTGTGTCTACCATGTAGCCAAGCACTGCTAAACCATGGATGGCAGGGAAGGAATGTTCTTTACACATGTTCTTTTCTTTAAGGCCAGAGTACATATTAGAAGTATGAAAGCAGGATTAATATGATTGATAACCATCAAAACCACACTTCCATTACTGCACTCTGCCTTCTTTCATGGCCCAAAAATCTGCCCAGCTCAAAGCCTTCAGCTCCTGCCCCTCTATAGTTATGTGCTCCTTCCAGCGACCTTAGACTTTGCAACCCTTTAATTCTGATACCCCAGACACTTCTGAATTTCATTGTATGCATAGAAAAAAAAAAAAAAAAAAAAAGCCCCCCCCCCCATGTTAACAAAATGTTCACCACTTTTCTAGAAAAGAACAAAAAAATTTAGCAACAAAGATATTTATTGAAAACAGTAATCTTCAGTTTTCCTGGTTAGACATTTTTTCTTAGTCTTAACTAACATAATTCCTGAACCTTAAAATGATCACAAAAAATTGACAGAGGACACAAGGCCTAAATAGTAGCTTATTGTTTGGAACACTGAAAGCTGCCTGAAAGGAAGCTGTAATGAGAATATTCTCCAACATGAAAAAGATACACACAGGAAAACAGCTATTATCTCAAGTAATCTTCAGCAAAGAAGATGTTTCTCTGAAATAACTTTTGGAGACCTGTGGTAATTCGATACCTGAACCTCTGTCACCAAGCTACTAGATCAGAAAAGAAATGTTCATAAGCCCTTTTGAAATACCATTCTTCCATAACAGCAGTTCACTAAAATGTATGGTATATGGCAAACAAAGGATGCATTAGTACATGACCTAATGATTATGTGAACAAAAGAGGGGAAATACATTGCACCACCTTTCTGTAAGTTTCATTTATCCATGAAATAGCAATAGCATTCATAGTTGCATTTCCATTATACAGAATATAGCTTACCTTCTGACTTACTAGCACAATAGTATTGTTTTATTTATTTAATATTTATAACATATAATATTATATTCTACTATATAATATATAATATTTATAATATTTTATTTAATACTTAATTTTATTTATTTATTTATTTATTTAAGCTGGGTGGTTTTCTTTTCATGGTACAATCAGCTAGTAGAAAAATAGGACTCAATAATGCAAACGTGTCACAGTAAATAAATTGCATTAACACAACAATATAAAAGCTGTGCTCAGCAGTTTCTCTTGGACAAGGTCTGTTCTAAAACTATGCATGCAGCTTTCTAAACACTTGGATAACTATGAAAGTTACATCTCATTATATGAAATAATATAAAAATATGTTGAGTTTCTACTTAGGATTTTGTTTACCCACTTCTCATTAAAAAGAGATATATGCTTCATTGGCTGCTTTAAAGCAGAACATTTCTGTGGCTCTATTTCTTGTCCATATTCACTATTGAGGCTTCTTTGTAAAATCTTGCAGTGACTAAGATTCCACAAGGAATAGAAAAGCATAGCCATTAACTCAATTTCAAAGTCACTCTATGCAGAGATTACTTACCCTCTCCGCCACCCTCCCCACCCCCCCCAAAAAAAAAGGTTCTTTCGGGTTTCGATGCATTGACTTGATTGCCCTGCAGATTTAGCATCCTCTGTGCAGAATTCCATGTCCTCTGTGAGTTGAGTAGAGATAATTGTTCTTTACTTCATTTCTTTGGGCTGTCAGAGACAATAGGTCTCACCTCCTTCTTCTTTGGTCTTCTCTGGTTATAGGATATCCACAGTCTCTCTTAAGAAAATCCTTTTAGTAGTTTGCTATGGAAGCAATCCACAAAACCTCTGCTTTTACATCCTAAGTGGATTGTATTCAAAGAGCTATGTTAAATCTGTATTAAATAATCTTTCTCACATTTCCTACTGACTAACCATTTACAAAGGAGCTACAAAAATCTGAAAATAGATGAGGAGACACTCAATTGGTGTCATGACTGCTGTTCCTTACATGCTACTGAATTTGTTATAATAGAGTCAATGGCAGGGCCTCATGGCAAGTGAGGATTTCCATACCATGTTCCTTTGACTTCATATCTACTCTGTCTCTCATGCAGTGCTTCCAATCTATGGCCTGGTTTGACTCCAGCCAGTAATTTCTTGTATTTTCCTGGCAATAAATACAATCTGTACAAAACCCATGTTATTCAGCAATGATAATGTCCATCAGAGAGAGACAGTGCATCATTTTGCTGGTACAAAGACTTGTTTGGTCTTCACAAGACAATGACTTTTTTTCTATATAGCTTAAAGAATTATTTTAGCATTTTGTTTGAGTTTCATAGAAAACCTTGGATTCTTTCATATGAATGGAAAATCCTTGTTGAAGGAAAGAACATAGCGAGGTCGTGTATTAGTTTGAAGAGTATCAAAACCAAAATGGAAATAAAAACACCTGTTTGTAATGCTCCCAGATGTCCTCTTTCTCCTTGACTCCTTTGTAACCACTGTAATCCTCTTGTTTCTGATCCACTATTAAGAAAAAAGAAAAGCCTCTTGAAAATGTAGTGCTTGAAGCGTGCATTTTTCTGTAGAGACTACTTAACTATGCATGTTTATGCATGTTCGTAAAGGTACCTCAAACACTTAAGTTAGGAAAAAAAAGTATTGTGGTTTTAGGTCTTTGTATTATTCATTATTGCAATGGGGTAGCTTAGGATGGTGAAATCAAATGGCCTGAGTGCTTTAGGTCTGTTGGCATGTTCCTGGTTTGACATTTCAGGTGTCTGTAGCTGGGGACCATGTGAGCAGTAATAGGGTCAGACCTGGCCAACTACCCTGTGACTCAGAAGAAGTTCCTCCTGTTTCATCTGTAATATTGCAACCTATGGGTCCATTAGGAATAAAAATACAGAGGAAGAAGGTAAAATGTGTTTCCAGACATTTATAGCTTTTGATAGTGTCAGAAGTACCATGTAAATACGTTTACAGTTATGGTTTTGTCCTGTTTGTCACTATTCTATTTTCTGTGGTGTAGCTATAATGAATATCACTGTCCCAAAGGAAACAGAGTTTTATAAGAAACTTGATAGATTTGTTCTGTCTCATGCGTTTCCTCGTTTCTATTTTAACCTGTTACATACTTACTTATATGTATATACTTTATATGTATAAAATGTTACCTTATGTATATGTGTAACAGCATTTTCTTCTGAAGCATTCCTGCTGATGTCTTTTTATAGATAAAGCTTATCATGATTAAAACTGTAAAATAGTTAACATTAAAGTCAAGCTACTGCTGTCTTTTTTTGAGAAAATATTTCTGCTTACATAAACATCTGGAGCATGGAGCCGTAACCAAAATCTGTAGCAGGAAGTGATGGAAAGCACTTCAATATTTTATCTCTCAATAAAAAAGCATACAGACAGTCTACACACCCCCATTTCTACAGTGCATGTGCACTGACAAGCTCCTTTTGTTTGTTCGAGATATGTTTGGCATGGAGCACATGCAGGGTGAAATAAATAAATAGCATGAAAAATACTGTTACTATATTTGTATTTATCATTAGCAAGACAACTAGAGCCTTTATTCTCTGCTGATTACAGTTAATATGAAAGGATAGAAATTACAACAAATAAAAAATTTCTCAAATATTATGCATGAGCATTGACCTGATTTTATTCTAATGTTCCATGATGTACACACAGTAGTGAGAAAGCTTGAAACAATTAACTGCAATAGAGATCTAAATATGTAATTTTTCTTTTTAAGCAACTGTTAAATTATAACCTTAAAATCAGTGGCATTTCATTGGTGACACTGTTTGTTGTTCATTAAGAGACTGAGGAATTTATGTCTTTAATTTTAACTATACATGAGCTTAATTTTCTTTTTTTTTTTTTTCATATTCAACACCTTTTCTGCAAAGGTGAAATGCAGTTTCCTCATAGCTGTCTATAAACACCATTTAGGTCAAAGCAGAATGGATGGTTGAGTAGACCCTTCAGCTGTGTAAGGGATTTCATCTAAGACCAGCACTCCCTGAGCTGGCTTGGCTCTGTTTCCATTAAACTACTGGAATTGTGATAAGTATCCCCAGGTAAGGATCTGAGCAATAAGTAGCTACAACATGACAAAAGTTGTAAAGCATTCACTTAGAAAATTTGAGACCTTCTGCAACACTTTTGTTCCCTGTCACAGCATTCTTCTGCCTGATGACTCTTCTGCTGACAGTAAACTAAACTTTGAACATCCCTTCAAGGGAATTGCCTTTCTACTTCTGAGCTTTTCAAAGAAACTGATAAAATGGTTAATTATTTGAATAATCAAGGGAATGAATATTTGATCACTAACATCAAAGAGGAAGATATAATTCAAGGGTTGAGGTATGTGCTTAATATTGAATTGCTCATATAACACAAAGAAAATAATGATTTCCTTGAAAATGTGTTTGCTAAAGTTTTGGGGGGGTTTTTGGTCTGCCTTTTGGAACAGTGGAATAGAGAAATAGTGGGAATGAGTTTACGTATATTTATTTAATTGCCCAGAACTTGTCTTTGTGTCATTTGAAAAGCTGTTGGATGAAGTAAAGCAGAGGTCAATTAAGGAAAATAACCTCAAATGGACACATTTCACAGTTTCAGTAATGTTTTGAAGTCCTACTAGATATAGCAATTAATATTAGTTGCTGAACAAGCATGAAGGCTGGATTATCTGTTCAGTGTCAAAGACTTTATTTTGTTTCTGTTTTTGTGTGAGATGCACTGACAAGTGAATATGGGACATTACCATTGCCACTCCCTGGGAATTTCTCGTTATCTTTCTCTTCCCAGCATCTGGAAGATATACCGATCTAGTTCTAATCCCCCTTTTTACATTTCATCCCTTGATGCTCAGCATCACAGCTAGCACTGATCATTAACAAATACACTTCGACTTTGACATGACCTAATGCTCAAGCTGGGGTTAGCCAGGAAACAAAACAGCCATTTCTTGTTTGATATTTCAAACACACCTTAAGCAGTTCAGGGACCTTCCATCAAGAGCAGCTGCTACCTAGAGAGACACTGTCAGCTTTACAGAGTCCTGTGCATTTATCTGCCCTCACAAGTTGTTCATATCAAAATGCCATGTTGTTTTGGTTACAGATAATTAAAGGCATTAACTGCTTACTCTCTGTCAAGATTTATAGAAATTGCAAAGGCAGAAAAGTCACTTAGTTTAGCCTGAACTGATCTGGGAATGACCCTTCATTTTTCTCTGCAGCTCCTGGAACAAATCTTCACTACAAAAGCCCAAACACAGGGTCACTCACTCAGTTAGCTCTAAGTACAGTGTTTTAGGATGGGGTTTGCTCATCCAGATCCCTTTACTGAGGCAGAATAGTGCTTAGTAAATGCAACAGTGCATAGAGACAGCCAGGCAACATACCGTGAGGTCAAAATCCAGTTCACAATATCAATTTAATCAGTTTCTCATTCAATTTACTGTGTGTATTCCTACTGATTATATATCTAGTCATGCATCTCCCACTCACTTGTAATCTCCTTTGTTAATTAGTTAATGAATACAATCAGTGTGACTCAAGCTTTATTTATTCACAAAAATGTTATGTATTTTTAACATTATATTTTAATTTTTTTTTGGTCTGAATATCTTCACTATGCAGCATCTCAGGTGTCTGAGTGATTGCTGATGCTCTTTAGTGGACTGCAGACATCCCTCTCATTAATCTAAGTAACTGCTTACCAGTTATATTCTCAAGTACCCCATCACTTCTGGTGCACAGCAAGAGTGTTTGGGCTTTCTACTTTCTTAAAGCAGTGTAGCAATATTTCAAACCATGTACTAATCCAGATCCTCAGGCAGAAAATATATCTAGTCAGCTGCATTTATGTAAAGGCATTTATAGGGTATGCTATCAAAATACTCTATTATTTAGTAGATTTGCTTGTAAAATAAGAAAAACATAAATATTATATACTATTTTATGCCCTGACTCCTCAACATTTTTGCCAGCAAACCTCATTTTTTTTTTTTGAGTGAAGATTTTTAAATAAAAAGAAAAAAAAAAATACACACACACCCCCCAAAACCCCACAACATCTTTTACTTGCAAGTGACTTGCATTCATTTTGTTTGAATTTCTTGATAAAATTTCTCATTGGAACACCCCCCCCCCCCCCCCCCCCCCCCCCCCCCCCCCCCCCCCCCCCCGCGCGCGCGCGCGCGCGCGCTGAGCAACAATAGCTGAAATTGCAGATATCCACTACCACGGACAAAACTTGCTTAAAAAAGGGCACCACAACTACTATTGCATTTCTACTCTTAAGAAATAATTGCAAATTATACTTGTGTCTGAACCTCTACTTGGAAATCAAAGACCAACTGTAATAAGAAATTATCTCTTAAAAAGAAGAGGCCCCATTCTAAGTAATACCTAAACCAGAAATGAGCAGTCCAGACAAAAAGTGCGCAAATAGTGAACTGCTGTAGGACAGCAAGAGCAATGCTGTAGCTCCTTACAATGCACTGCTGTGGCTGCTCTCTTTTATCTTACCATACCTTAAAAGTAGCTTTTATTATTGTTTGTGCCACATAGCAGCTCAGTGAGAGTCTTTGCGGTGGGATCCAGCTGCCTTTGGACACTGCAGTGTTGTAGGTCCAGTGATGGTGACAGGGGCAGTGGCGGCAAGAGGGGTAATGAACTACAGCATTAAGAAAACCCACAAAAAACCTAACCCTCGACTTTGAAGGACTAGAATGAGAAAAAAGAAATTAAAGACTGTTTAGCTTGGCTAAAAGATAAGGCAGGGAAAGCAGACAGCAGGTATTTTAAGGATGTGTTAGTATGGGAAATACTGAGAACTGAAATACAAAGAACCATGAAGCACTGCAGAAATAGGAGAGATGAAATCAAGTGCAAATTAAAAAAAAAATTGACAGCAAGAGCTGTGTTTCCTTCATTATGTTTTCACAAGGGAAACAGACCTGTTTCACAGGAAATAGTAAAACACAAATCAAGCTGGGCAAAGGCACAAGAAAATGTACTGCAGAGGAGTGTAATAGTCGGAGGTGGCACAGAAGAGCATTTTCATCCCTGAACTACCCTGTATCTGGCAGGTGTTATATCATGATCATTTTCATGCACTGGAACCACTAACTTCCCACCACACAGTGATCCTAAGCAGTGGCGCACACTTCCAAAGTCCTACTTGGAAGGCTGATGCCACTGTAACCTACCATCCTGTGACATTCAGAACTGACGTTTGTGTCCAGAGTCCTGCCTCTGGAAAGAGCCAGCAACTGGGCTTACATGCTGCTATCGCAGAAGCAATAGCCAGAAATTAATCTTTCTATGAAAAGACATAAAAACATCATCCAATCTTGAAAGTGTGTAATAATTTCCCTAGTCTATTTTTATAATTGAGTGGAAAAGCCTTCTTTAACTTTTTCACATAGGTTATTAGCGAACACTTAATTTATGCTCCTAAGAGCTGCCCTTAAATACCTTTACTGGAGTCTTCAAAATGACAACCACCTGTCTTATCACTCACACCAAGAATGGGTTTCCACCACAGACCTTAATAACAAAATGGTAATTTGTGAGGTTCTGAAAGAAGATGGGACTAGTAAAAATCATCATGTAACTGACTTTTTAATATCCCAAGATCACTGCCACTTAATAAGATTGAGACTTTGAGAATGAAATTAAAACATAAATTCCTAGAAGTGACTTTCATGAGCCTAACATGCAATTATTAGGTTAACAAAAAAAATCAGCTTTAAGGTTCTAAATGCCTCTCTGTCAATAGAAATGCAAGGCAAGAATGAAAGCACACACTAATAGAAACAAGAGCAGCTCAGCACTGGGTATGTCTAGGAAATAGAATTCTGATAATGTTCAAGGTCCAAAATTGTTCCATCTAGCATTGCAGTTTTACAAAAGGTCTTCATATTAGAAACTTACAGGTACAACCAAATTTAGCTCCATGATGGTACGGAAGGAGTAAAAAATGTTTTTAAGATTCTCCCAAAAATCCTGGGCAGCTCAGACACTTTGAAAAAACTTCCCATCAGTTTCACAGCTCTGCAAACCTGAGACACCCAGAAGAATGACAAGAAATTCTGTTGTGTTCCTGCATGTGATTTTCAGGTTCTCAACACAAGGGAAGCACCACTATGGGAGAAAAAAAAAAAAAAAAAAGTAAAAATCCTAAAACCTAAAAAAAAATCAGTTGTGAGAATTCCTGCTTGTCCATGTACAGTGACACACACACACAGGTGGGTTTCAGAGTGTGGGGCTTTGCCAACCACCCTTTGCAGAGGTGACCTGCAGGTAGGGCTGCCCACCAGCTTTAAGAAACTCCTTGCTGAGGCACCTCAAGGAAAAAGCTGTCTTGGAAAAAGAAGTGCTTCAATTCCTTCCCAGGGTTAATAGATTTTATCCTTTGCAGAAAGCAGTCTGGATGCTTAATGAATCACAGCTCAGACCTGTGTTGTCAGATGCAAAGCTGTTTTTCATGAGACATTTCAATTTCCAGAAAACAGTAAGCTGGGTTTTCAACAGAACAGTGTCTGATGAAGTCTGGCCAGCCTGTTTGCTGTCACACTTCTAAAGTGGGAAGCTTAACACCAATTATTATTCTTTTTTACC